AGTAACGAAACTTCTGAATCTTTACTTAAATAGGAAGAGGTAAGCAAATTTTGTCGATTTTATTCCACTAACAGACACTTTCGTGGATTTTAAATAAAAGTTATAATATCGAAAATCATATGTTTATTTCGAGATTCTTACAACTTGGTGTAATAATATCCGAACTTATAGAATTTCCTAGACGGTTCAAAATTGCAATTTTGATGGTGTAATCATCTTAAATAGTTACTACAAATGATGTTTTTTAAATCGGACAAAACATCTTTCAGATGTAAATCTGTTTAATGCATTTCAGGCACTACAACAGACCAATTCAATTTAGTTCCGAATGTCCTTACATGCATTAAATATCAAACTTATTTGAATATCAAGATTTTATCAATGTTAGTAGGAATATATTATTTATACATGTACTAAGTAATATTCAAATTCTACAATCAAAGGTTGTTGAAGTGTTACATCATAAAAATGGAAAGTAAATAATGTTGAAACTGAAGCCATCTCTTTTGTCGTCAAGTTTAGTTCTAAATCGACTCTCACTGTCAATGTCTAGGTTGAAGTCATCGGATATCTGATCTCTATAATATCCTTCATTTCAATTTCAATGAGACATATTCGATCGACATAATCACATTGACAATTTTGATTTTTTTTTCTGGTGTTTATATTCGCATTACGGTGGTGCATGCAAAGCACGACACCCTTATCCGCTCTCACTCCTTTTAGAGTGCATGCATTTTTGTTTTATACATTGATTTATATATTCTTAATCAATTTCTGATATTTGCATATCAATAAAATAATGTTGTCTAAACTTATGTGACCGAATTTCCTATCCAACTATAAATGAATGCTATATGATATGATATATAATTTGATGTGACTAGCTTTGCGGGGGGAAACATTGGCAAATGGTACAACATCGTAAACATATATTATAATTGAACGAATTTTCTCGGTTGGTGATAATTTACTTATTGGAATTATTTTATTATGACAGGTTAGCTAAATTAACAATCAATATTCTATCCTGGTATCTATGATGAGTTTATTTTATCATTGTTTTCTTCTATTTATTTTCTCTGTCAGTGCAATTTAAAGACCTCATGTTGTACAAATATTGTTTTCTGCAAAACTCAAACCTCCGACAGAGAGTATTATCACCAACATTAGCACATATAATTAGGGTGGTTAATATTCCCACACATGTTAAGGCAAAGAACAAATTTTATTTCTCATCATAAAATGTACGATTCAATTTCACGATGTTTAACTATAAAGGATATCACATTTAATTTGACACCAATAAAATATAACTTAATTGAACTGTTCATTTTTACAAGAAAGTTCCAAGTACTTGTTCACCTCATGCTTTGGTGATGGAATCATCTTTTGACATTAAATGGATATAATAAAGAGAATTAAACATTTTTAGACAGTTATAGTCTAACAAAATAACTATTTCTGTCATAGCAATTATTTCATTTCAAATTTTCACATTTGGTCACGTATCAAGGTTAAAGGATTAAATTTTACTGATGTTTCATGAATTTGGTAATGTTTCAGGGATAGAAAAGATACAATTTCCAACTAATATCGTATAAATAAGATGCACCATGTTTACCTATGTTCCAAACTCGTAAAACCATTTTTATATACGAAACGGAGTGCCATATATTTTAAATATCTAAGACATGGAAAACATGTCCTGCGTGAGTTGAGACTAAGACACGTCGTATCAAGCTACCAATTTGTGATGATGACCAAAAACTGGGAAAATATCTATTTCAGTCGATAATCCTCATAACCCCACTGGTGTAGTTTGTGTGCTTGTGAATTAAAACTGACACAACTGGGCGACTTCAAACTGGAGTAGTTTGTGTGCTTGTGAATTGAAATTGACACAACTGGGCAACTTCAAACTGGAGTAGTTTGTGTGCTTGTGAATTAAAATTGACACAACTGGACGACTTCAAACTATGACCAACATGACGATTTCATTTCCGCATTGCCAATTTTCCATTTCTAAGTAGAAACATAAACTCTGTCCAATCGTACGCCTTTTACATATATTATGATGGTAAATTGGTTGTAATTGCAATAAATTTACACTTTATAAAATAAATATTTTTGAGTATTATTTATCTCGAGTTTTCAGGATTAACATTAGCCAAATATTCACCAAAATAGCGCTTTTTAACAAGTCAGCAAGGTGTTGTAGTAATACATGGTCTAAAATTGAAAAGTCTTTTGATACAGGGATTTCCCTAATCCCTTGGTTAACAAATTACAAGACATTTAATTTGTTAAGTTAAAGTATGAATTATGTATAACCAAATCCGCATCAAAATAGTTGGAAGTAATCATTAATTGAAACTTATGCAATAATCCTTTCATTACCTAATCAAATGTATAATTTTGATGTTTCGTTCTACAATCTTAGTTTCAATATATTGTTTTTGATTAATAAGATAAAGAAGATTCACATATGATAACACCAAAAGAAATTTGCAAAAACTAAATGGTCAGAGAAAGGCCAGAGGACCAGACATCACATACTTGATTTTAAATAAGAACGGATAGTTTACAAAGTCACTGATTCTATTCTATTCGATGTCTGGTGTCCTGATAAACGTTTTATCATAAAGTGGGATTTTTTTACTTTACCAGGCCTCGAAAGATCGATTCCAGCAGCCTAGCATATAATTTAGAAGTTACATGAATTAAGAGACCAACATCTGCCAGAATCGCATGATAAACTCTTCACGGGAAAGGGACCGTCTTTCCTTCCATCCCCCTTTCCCGCATAACACATAAATCAATTTTAACTTTACGCGTGTATATGTTCATGTTATACGTACTTCATTAACAAGGGTAAGCTCATAACCCAATAATAAATATGGCAGAGTTATGAGGAAGAACGAATGAAATCGACATTACATAAGTTTTACAGTCACCATCAAACTGGATTATCGATACTTAACTCACGAGAAACATCTTTTTTTGCGGTCTCAGATATTAAGTTCTCAGAAATATCGTCTTATCTGTAAATTTCCGGATTGTGTCTTATTACCTATCATGATATTTTGACTGAGTTTTGAACTTTAAACCGCATGGCGGATGATGTATGCACATCAGGAGACGCTTATCATGTCACCACTTCTTTTGCATGGAGTCATGATCATGCGATTTCTGATTTGTATATTCAAAATGATTTACGAGAAACTACTATCGCCTGTTATTCATAAATAATGGGATACGAACATGATTAACCCGTGTGGTGTTATATGCATGCTGACCCTTTTGGAGCACATGAGTAAATCCTCGGTTTTTATGGGGTACGTATTGATCAATCTTTAGCTTACTGTATAGTATTTTGTTGAATGTTGTTTTGTCTTTTTTTCTATTGTCTTATTGGTACGGTGTTTTCCTTGACTTTTGTTCCCGAAAGTTAGGTATATCTCTGAATGTCATGGTTTTTGATTTTTTTTCTCTATCTGGTTTTGTTTATTGTTTTTGTTTTCTTACGTCTTTTCCACATCTTTTTTTTTCTTTTTTACTTACTTATACACTGCTTTACATAAAACAGTTTATGCCTTGGTAAATTATACCAAGATATAGTACTCAAACAAAATCCACCATTCATGCAACAAAACAGATGCAGTGATTTCAAAAAGGTGGGATACATCCCTTAATATAAAATTTAATGAAATACATGCATTTCATTTTTTTGTGCTTTTTTTCTGTCAAAGAGGAAAGGGAGGGGTGTGTTTCTTAGAAATTCGATTTTTTTATTTCTCCGTCTTAGTCCACTGCATCGTTTTTTTTTTCTCTCTCTCTCTATCCTTTTGACATTTGCTTTTCTCTTTCCTTTGTGGAATTTAATAGTGAGGCTATAGACTGAAACTCTGCTAGGAGATAGATTAATGTTTCCGGGTAGTGTGGTGCCGGATTATTACCTTGTCTGTAGTTGGGCCGTTATTGTTTTATCCCCCCTTTTATTAAATCAGTTTGATATCCTCTACCATTTCTTTCTAGACATGTTTATTTCAGATATAAAATAAAGCAATCAAACTGTCATTATGATGTAACGCATCAAAACAAAACATGAGAATTCGGTAAGGTTAGAAGTACTTCATTCTTCTTTATTTACTTTTGTTAATATAATGATCGAAAAAAAGCTACGCAACTATACTAAAACAAAGAATGTTGGCATTTCATTTATCTATGTAATCAACCCTCCTTCTTGATTTAAAGGATGAAATAAAATATAATTCAATTTGCATTTAAGTGGAAAGGAGTACTGAAGAGAGTAAAACGATAACAGTTTAAATTTTTAATGTGTTATTGTTCTTTCTCTGCCTTTCATTGCCTCCAACATTGTTGCTTTTTTCATTTGTGCATTTATGTTTTTACACTTATACATCAAAGTAAATAATCTGAGGAATGAGGGAATCGCATGAACTCAAAACGGAGCGCAAGAAATCGGGCGTGTCTAAAGGGTAAGCCTTTCTTGCTTGATATAAAGTGCGATACAAATTTTAGTTATTAGTTAGGCTAGCGGTTTAAATGTTCTACGAAAATATCCTGTAGTCATTTTGAACAAAAGTGCTACTGAATACATTAAACTTCATGTATTGAATATGCTTCCTATTGGAAACTTGTTGCTATGTTGTGAGTGTGGGGAGAGGCAAACCATGTTTATAGGTTTTAGCCTTTGTTAGTCTTGTGTGTTCTTTCAAATTTTGGTTCATTTGTATGTTTCGGAGTTTATTGAAGCGGCTATTTTGCTGAAATAGTATACATTATTGTTTAGGGGCAAGCTGAAGCCCGCCTCCGGGTTCGGGATTTTCTCGCTGCATTGAAGACCGATTGGTGGCCTTGGGCGGTTTTCTGCTCTTTGGTCGGGTTGTTGTCTCTGTGACACTTTCCCCGTTTCCATGCTCTATTATATTATCAACAATGATAGGTTTGAGTGATTAAAAAAAAAATCTACTCACAAAATTTCATCTGTACCATGCCGAATATGCCATGATGCTTTTAATATAAAGTGTTTACATGTTTGAAAGTTTTTATTTAACTATTGCGCAACCGGATAGTTGTCATGAGTAAGAAGCAGACTAAAAATGACTCAGCTACCTGTGTGGGCTAATATTAGTATCCTATGATATACTTGGTATAACGCAATAATTCAAATAAATGACTAAAGTAAGTACCACCGACGCAATTTACTAATGTTATGTAAGATAATAATCACAGTTGGACATTTTTATATTTACTATGCTTTAACTGGTAATTTTATTACAGTGGTCGTAAACTAACGAGATTTTCTGCAAAAAATGTCACATTTGATCCTGTTCTGTCGAACGTTTATTCTTACAGAGGAGGTGTGGGAGTTAAATATAACAGAAAACAATAATATAGAATTTATATGCAAATCGTTTTGGCCTTGGTGGCGAAACTTATATTTATGTTTTTGATAAAATGTGAAAAGGACATATTGAATCTGACATTGCCGTTTGTAATGGTAATTTTCTTAGATATCGGGCGTCACGTTATGTAACGAGACATTCACGATTTTCATTATAAACAGACCTTTTGGGAATGGAAATTTATAATGATTTTTCCAATGCAAAATAAGTAAGACTATGACAAATTTCCTTATCATTTCTTTATTTCCCAGTGGCAGTGAACACTTGCATATTTCACAATAACATAAAATTTACAGAAATTATGTGCATTCATATATTTCAATTAATACAAAATCCAATATGATGATAATATAATGACCAAACCAAGATTTTGCTCCAATGATCATACAAAGATTAGTATGGTTTATTCATTATTTATTTTTTGTTTCAATTATTTATTTATTTTTAATTTTTTTTTATGTGGGAAACTACTGTAACAGTATAAATCATATATAGCCAAATTTGAATAAACGCAGCCAGTAATAAGGGGACCACCCATTATTCATTAGTTCAGCGGCTTTATCTAAATTTTATATTAATTTGTTATGAAAAGTTAAAACATATCTCTGCCCAGAAGGAGGAGTATTAGGACTTGATATAGCAATTAAGGGGGAAGTGTGTTTAGAGATTTATTTATCAACATGGGATTTATGTGGCTTTTTATGACTTCAAAGCCTGTGGTACCTATTTGGACTTACATGAGATTGAAGCATGTACATAAATATGTACTTGCTGTGGTTTCTTAATACGGAAGACATCCAGACAATTAATAAAAACACAAATGGCTACATTTTTGAGACTCGGGACGATTAATAGCTTGACAACTGGCTATTGTAAAAGACAATATGTTGCCCTTTAGATATCTTTTTGTTATTTTATTCGGTGAGTCATTGGTGTACATTTTACATCTCCTTTAATTAGGTCTTTCCACTTTTCTGTGGAAAGACCTATTGGTTTTGTTCTGATTATTATTATTATTTTCTTCTTCTGCCACATTTTTTTCTTGCGGTGTATTGTGGTTTTGCAAGATGTCGCTTAGATTTTTTGCATATGATATCGAACAGTTATTGAGCTTTTGAGACTGAACCTGTTTTACCGAACACTTTTTATTGTAAGATTTAGCTCCGCAAACACTGTTTTCATGTGCGCGCATCTCCTTCGCAACTGTAAAAGATTACGACAAAATTATTTCACCAATTTTCTCGTTATATCCTCAGGATCTGAAGAATAATTTTGACCGAAGCGATCCGGAGACTCCATATGAGAGTTATTTCCCCTTACTGATGCATTTGATATAAGTGATATGCATTTGTAACTGGTAAACCATAAGTGATAGAGACCTAGGGTCTTTTAATTTGAGGTCTTTGGTCCAAAAAAAAAGAAAATTAGGTCAAGGTCAAAGGTCAAGGTCATGTTCTGATCTTTTACATTGAATTCATATTGCTTCTTCCCAGAAAGAGTTATAGATATCGACAAAACAATTTAACCAAAATGTTTGTCGCAATATGTCCTTACTGGAAATTTTTTGTCAAAATGGTACACGTCATTTTATTGCAGGGTCAATGCCCCTGGAATGGTCAAATAAAAAAATTACTAATCAAAACTTCAAACTTTGCAGCTATCATGTTGTAAATTTTTTTTATCTCTATTATCAACTACAGTCTACTACTACACTTCCCCTTTTTTCCAACTGATTTTTTTTTTAGTTATCCCATTTCTATGAAAAGAAAATCGCTTTTAGTCCCGTACTGTAAAGTGCTAATCCTTCTTATGTACAAACTTCTTTCTGAAATAGAAATTTATCCCTGAAAAAATCTGTTCCATTTCATGTATTTTCTGAAATTAATCGATAAACGTTTTGTTAAAATACTATAACAAGAGTATTACTTGTGTGTGCATGCAACGAATGAAGACTCGTAAAATAGTTTACCTGTAAAATGAATCAAGAAAATATATTCCCGTTAGCACTATAAATACACGTGCGGTGCGCTTGATTGAGAAATTAAAATCAATGACGTAGAAATCGCTCCCAAGTTCGTAAATATTACTGAAATCCTACAATCAAATTTCTAAACATGCATTAAAATACAAATATGCGCTCCCGTAAACATGTGTACGTAAAATGCATGCATGATCTGTATAAATCCAATAGTTATCGTGTTACTCATATCAATACACATGTGTTCTCCTTTGAAAAGATATAAATAATCCAGACATATATATTTGAGCGTCACGTGACTTCACAAACACAACCGCGCGCGCGGACCTAAATTTAGAATAAAACATCACATATCCAAATACAGAAAGTGAAACTTCCCAGACAAAACTTCCCAGACAAAATGTTGCTCAGTTTCCGAAAATTTCAAACAAAATGCACACACAACAAATAAACAAAAACATAAAGTTCGAGTTTCGGTAGAAAATAGAGAAAAATAAAAAAACAAACTTGTAAGGATTTTTTTTATTCATTAGGAAATCCAGGCAGGTATAAGTACGCAGCCACGTTCGGTCAGAATATGGACGTCAAGTCCGATGCCTCGCATAGAGAGTGTCAAGCAAACTTTCAATCAATCAATCAATAAATATGTTTAATACGGGATCAAATATCTCATTTGTTTCTTTTTCGCTTGTTCAAAGAGACCCTATCCCATGTGTTTAATTAGTAAATCAGTCAACCAACCAACCAACCAACCAACTGACCGATCGACCGACCGACCAATCAATCAACTTACCAACCAATCAATCAATCAATCAAACAATGTTTCGGAGGGGAAAGACCGTTAACAATTGTTTTTAAAACAATTGATTTATATTTCATATAAACTTTTCATTATATCTATTAAGGGCTGTGCCAAAGTCAATACCATTAATATTTGTTGATTGTTTGCTGCCTCATTTAAATTTATCCAACACCTTCTTTTTTACTTATTTCAATAATGATTTCATAGAATTGTTATATCAGTAAATGGAGGACATGCGGTCATATGTTTTGAATTGCCTTGTTGACTGTAGACACAAAAGCGAATTGTTATAGTGATCACCTTATAAACTAATCATAGATACCAGGTTTAAAATTGTGTACGCCAGACACGTGTTTCGTCTACAAAATACTACAACAAACTTATCTGATAGTTTTCTTGTCTACAAATCTCTTTGCCTAATTTGCTTTTTTGTTTAATTAATTTTTGTACGGTGATTTGATCAGCTATTATTTAAGGAAGTTCAAAAAGTATACATATCACGATTTTGAATGTATGAAATGGTGCGTTTTTAATTTAAACACATGTAAATGTAATCTAAAGTGAATTATAACGAGAGAAGATTATAGAAGATTAATGATCTCGTTTTAGCATTTATAATGATATTTATGATACTGATATTTTATGGTTTTAATTGGCATTTATAACGGAATTATTTGTTTTGAACATTTTATCTTAAAGTCGAAGACGATCAATTTCAAGGACACTAGTGATAAAAATACTTAAAGCTTACTACTGAATCAAGGTATTCTGGTATTTATTAAGTTGTTTTACATTGAGGCTTCCTTTTCAAAGCTCTTTTATTTTTTCTATTTATGTTAGTACCTTAAGCTTTACATTTAAAATCCTTTTCACGAGCTGTACCTTTCAAATCGGATTTGCTTTGTTTTCTTTAGCAACATTATTCTGGTTTTACAAATACATTTTTAGATTACCAAAGTGTGGGCAGGATTTAGTTCATCGTTCAAATACTTCTTAAATACAAGTATTTATTTAATTATTTTCTTAAGTATTTTCTATTTTTAGGGGTTTTTTTTCGAATGTGCCGCCTATTCTATTGTATTCCTTTTACCATTTATATATTCTTGTAGCATATTACGTCCATCGTCTCTTGTTTGTCTTCAGTCGATTTACACATTTTGGTTATAACTAAGTTCTACATGCATATTAAGAAAACCTGACAAGGACAAGCTTAATGAATGCATGTTTGCATATCTGATTATATTGTGCGTCCAAAACTGTACAAGCGTGATGTGGACTAGTGATCATATGGTCAGTTAATCTTTTAAAACTATCCATAATCTGATTCTTGTTTGTTCACAAATTACCTATCTTTAGTCTATTATTGTTTCAAAACATACAAAGACGGAAAAAATGAGACAACTTTACACCAGAGACCAAATGAGGTAGATCTTAGCTAACTTTAGGGCACTTCACAGCCTTCATCAATGAGCAAAATCCATACCGCATAGTGAGCTATACATAAAAGGCCCAAATATGACAAAATGTAAAACTATTCAAACAAGAATAACAACCGTCTGATTCAGCCTTTGTACATTTAGAAAAAATTACCTGTCATTTATGCCATCTACTTAAAGCCTTAATCTGTTTCTGGTAAATTTTTGCCCAGTAAACCCAAATCCAACTTTTGGATTAAGGACAATAATTATGAGCCGGAAGACTTATTCCTCGTTGGATTGTTATTAAGTAGGGAATAGCCATAGAAAATTATCGTCGTACCGGTCAAAATTGCAAAGTGTCGGAAAGATGGTTATACCTGGAAACCGTTCCGTATCAGAAGTCTTTGCCCGTAAAGTTCTAGCGGAACAGACCATTTAGCATGC